TTATAGAGCGACTGTTGAAATTAAGTGCATCGCAAAGTTATATTCAGAAAGAATAAACCAGTTTTATTTAAGAAAGAACTTGTGTCGCTAAAGTTTCGTCGGAACGAAGTTTCGGAAAATTAACTAACGAACGGAGACGCAACAATAGCTTTTTGCAAACGTTATAGAAAAAATGAATTAATTCATTATCATTATCGTTGTTTGCACGTTCACTAGAGTAGCATTTTACATAACTAAGAAAGATATCGCGAGTTAATGTAACTACATATTGTTTAGCCTTCAGTTGTAAAATCATTCTATAATCTTTAGAACGGTTTTATTGATTTTATCAAATTAACTTGTAATTTAACTGGCGGATCTATAAAAGACAGAGACAAATTGTACTTCAATTATAAGCTGGTTCTAATATTGTTTTTCTTACTTCTCAACTTCAATTTCAAATTTCAACTATTCATCGTCACTTTAATCGCGACACTGCTAACCCATCAAGTCATTGTGCTTTGGTGAAAATACAAGTGGACGACCATCATAGCATTTTGTATACTATTGTACAACTGTCAAAATCACATTAATTCCACCTAACCATATTCTAATTACACATGTTTATTACAAAAAAAATACTCTAGAACCACAAACATTAACTAATTAGTTATCATTTCGAAAAGACTCTAGTTTGAAATTGTAACTTAATTATATTTACTCATCAACTTGGTTTTCATAAAATAGCTTAGCACTGATGTGATACGCTTTATTAAAACTGTGTGCTAGATCAAATAGATCACTAACAAGCAGAGTAACGCTGTTCAAAACCCCATCTTTATATTATAAAGGGGTAGGGGTGAGAAAAATGGGCCTTGTATAGAAGCCAAACTGATTATACTTAATACATACTGTTACGTCTCTGGTCGTTAGTTAATTTTCCGTAAAAATTCTTTCCGAAGAAGTTTAGCGATACAAGTCCTTTCTGGAATAGAACTGGTTTATTCTTTCTGAATACAACTTTGCAATACACTTAATTTCCACAGTCACGCTATAATTCACAGCGAACGTCTCACGTGCTCGACTCAACTGTCAGTATTTATCTCTGTCTGCAGTTCAATTACACACATTGTTGTCATCACTTCTTGGCGGCTTATATATACAAGAATACCGCATATCCAGTAACGTCTCGAGGCATCAGGAAGGGACGTGAACGTTCGAGAATATGACGTGTTACTAGGGTCACGTGACCCCGTTGTCGTAACAATAACATTGATTCTGTAGCATTTGAGTGGATAATTAATAATTGTCAAAAAACGAGAAAAAAGTTGTTAGGTATAGTGAGTTGATAAACATTTTCCATATTTGATGACGAGGAACCCACTTTGAGACAAATAATGGCTGGAGACGGCTTGAATGGGTAAAGAAGAAAAACTTTAATATAAGTTCAACATAACAGCAAGTGTACAACGTTTCGACCCATTCAAGCCGTCTCCAGCCATTATTTTCCATATTTGTTTGTTATTAAGCACAAAGCTATACAACTGACTACTTGTGATCTTCCCACCGTGAGTATCGCACCTCACTTTTAGCGTTAAAAGCCCTCAGACTTGCCGCTGAGCCAGTAGGGTATCTTAGGAAAAATAATGATTGAATAACAATATATTGGGATAAAACTTTCTGTTTTGTTTGAATTTATGGACAAAGCTACACAATGAGCTATCTGGTATCGAAACCCGGTTTCTAGCGTTGTAAGCCCGCAGACGTACCGCTGTGCCACTGGGGGCTAATTGCCATGTGTTTGTTTGTTTGTTTTTGAAGTTAAGCACAAAGCTACACAATGGGCTACCTGTGCTCTGCCCACCATGGGTATCGAAACCCGGATCCTAGCGTTGTAAGTCCGTAGGCATACCGCTGTGCTACTGGGGGCAATTGCCATGTGATGCATATAGGTGCTTCAAATGATTACAAAAGGCTTCAGAACAAATTGAAGAGCTAAAGAAAACGCATGCATAATTATCTTTTAGTGCATGTTACAGAACCTGTAAATGAAAATGTACTTGCGTTTATGAGTTATGCTTTAGGCATTCTCAGTTTATTTAATATTCTCTTTCAAAGTGATGCTTCGCTCTTCCACGTGATACGTGTAGAAATAGAGAAACTAGTCAAAATATTTCTTATCGATTTCATGATTGTGAGATACGTAAGGTCTGTTAGTAACGTTATAATTACTGATGAGGGGAAAAGGTGAGTATGTCTCTTAACAAATAATATATAGTTATTGTAGCAGGGTCTACAGTGGCTGAGCTGACCTGAAAACAAATTATGTAAATATGAACCACGAAGAAATCGCCAAGATGTATTAATCAGCCACATACTTCTACAAAAAAGTCATGTGTAAGATAAACCAAAGGTTCTGATATGATGGTCCGACCTTGAGCATGCCAAGATTGAGGAATGCGTGAGTGCTCAAAATCTCGAAGCAAGAAGATTAATCAACGTTTTGAAAAAGCTTACTCTTCCAGACTGATCTTCATACCTCAAAATCTGGTTGAGCTTCTTGATGAAAGGAACATAATTTGATTCCTTCTATTGGATACTGGCGATATATCTTCTTTTTACACTTTGTAATTGGTACTTTGTACTTTTCTTAGTTACTGAAGCTAATATAAATGTTTTCCTTTCAAGTATTAAACACCGCGGCTGAACACTTGTTCAGCATTATCAAAAAGTAAGAACAGATAAACTAAACAGAGTAGTAGCATCAACATTAAAAGCTACCATTCAGCGTCGTTGAAGATTGAAAACGAATAAGGTACCATCACATGTTTTTGAAGTGGACGGTCATATTAATATTGAATTCAAACTTGTAAAAGTGAATGCCATTGCTATTGTTACGCCTCCAGTCGTTAATTGATTTTCCGTAACTTCGTTCCGACGAAACTTTAGCGACACAAGTCCTTACTTAATAAAACTGGTTTATTCTTTCTGAATATAACTTTACCGATACACTTATTTTCAACAGTCGCTCTATAATAAGCGTTTAAACAACGAACGTTAACTTCAACAATACTTCTTGACTACAGTTCAATTACTCACTACCTACACACATTGTCCTGTCACGTTGTGAGCGTCTTATTTATATACCAGACAAACATATATCTAGTAAATGCTAGGGCATTCACGAAGGAACAAGATACTTTTAGAAAATAGGTGACGTGACAATAGTCACGTGACCTCGCTGACACAACACTATTTAGAGCATTGACATCTTATTTTCTGAACCTAAATAAAATAATGGAATTTCATGGAGAATATCTTGATTTATATTTTCTTCAGGAGTAAACATGTTTTGGTAGAAAATTTGTTTATTTAAATGCAAAAGAAACAACAACAACAAAACACAGTCCCGAATTAATGTAACAGCTGGTAGGGTTGCAGCCCCTGAGCCCCAAAGGCTTTGGAGGACTCCAACAACCTTGAATTTTATGAAAAATATACTTTTAATTATATCGATGTGCCTTAAAAATACCCCTTAGCTCCCAGTAGGAGTAATCAGGCTCTTAGTAAATGTTAAGATTCTGTCCATATAAGATTACTAGTACTAAAACTAAATGACTGCACTAAATCAGTCATGGTGTCGTCCCCACTTTTAAGGGCTCACGAATATTATTCTCCATTTTCCCATATTTTTCGTTCTCTGCATCAACTTTCCAAATCTAAATTTCTCATTTTCAATCAATTTTATAATGTTATAGATCCAAGTGAGTCTCCGTCTACCTCTCGCTCTTCTTTCGTCGATTTTATCCATTAGAGTTTCAGTACTGTACTATTTACAATTTAATTAACTTTTTGTATATGTTATTTTGTAATCCCTTTCGGAATATATTGTTGAGGTTTCCTTTAGAAATAAACAACAATTTATCAAAGCTTTATTTCTATTAATGAAAGGCAAAACCAGATGTTCTGCGTGTATGATCACACTTGCAACTACTGCTAAACATAGCTAAACATAGTATTTAAGTTTTAACTGTTTGATATTAATTAAGCTGAAAGCTATACCACGGGCTATCTGTGCTGTGCCCATCAAGGGTATCGAAGACCAGTTTTCAGTGTAACACTGAGCCACTAAAGCGGGGTGGGGTGGGGGGCACAATTTAACTGTTTTTTTTGTGTATGCTAGTTTTTAATTGTGTAAGTTTTTTGTTAAATTAATGTTTTCATATTTTACTATCAAATTTATCAAACAGCTTTTCTGCTAGTAAACAGGGAAAATGCTTCAAATGTAAACGCAAAAAGTGTTTTGAATAAACTAATGTAACTTCAGAACATATTTTTAGATTGTTTGTTTGATTTTATAGTGTTTTTATTTTATTATTTTCTGGAATGTTATTCACGGCGCTAGGATTTCAAAAAGTCTAGAGTGGAAACACTGGGTTATACCGAATAGCTTAGCGAAGATTTGGATGTTAGTTAAGGGGGATAGAGTGTTAGTATAATAATTTATTTTGTATTCAGATAAAAAGCATACGTACATTAGCCACTTGAACAATAGATTTTAACTTGTAAAATTTTTATTGCAATTATGATAAAGCTTTTCTCTTTGAAACAACAAAAAAAAGAAGGCGAATCTTCTGGTAGAGCAGCAGGAAGCCAAAAGAGAGCTTCTGCCGCTCAACTAAGAATCACTAAAGGTAAGCAAAGTGTAAAACTTAAATAAGTTTACGTTAGGCTTAATTAAGTATCAAGGCACTGTACTGCTAAGTTTGGGCTCTAAAGTTAGATCTGTATCGTTTTTTGTTGTTCTTTTTTCTTTTAGATAACTGAAAAAGGATTCAAATATAGGTTTAGTATTTGAATTTTAGGTTAAGAACCGCTGTACGGTGATTGACTTTTGTTTGCAAATTACAAACTCCAACTTAGCCTGAACTCGTCTTAAGTTTAGACGATTCGTGAAGAGAGTCGAAAGCTAGCTTCTGTTAAAATTATTATTGTATATCCGTTTTTTTAATATTTAGTTTTGTGTTAAGATACTAATGTTAATTTTCAGCCTGCGATCAGCTGAGAAGTGAGTGTCATTGTCATCATGAAATTATTTACCTATTGCATGTAGAAACGTAATCTGAGTCATTTTGTGATTAGGAAACCCAGTTACTAATAACTAAATAAGTAATACTAAAAGGCAAAGTAGGTTAGCCCAAAATTCAAACCATGGATCAACTTTAAAATATATTTTTTCATTTACACAACCTAGATTATGATATTTGAGTTAAGGTAATTAGATGTATTTCAATTTTTCATCAAACTATGGACATTTTATTAGGATAGATGTTCACATTAAAAAATAACATGTATATCGAGGAACTTCAGAAACTCGCTTTCATGAATTGTAATCCAAATCTATTGAGTGAGATCAGTGGAGAGGGAAGATACAAAAGATAGTACTTTAAAAATTTCACTAAACTAGCCTTTAATAATGTCCTATTTCAATGTTTTGATGCTGATATTAGGAAGAAATTTGTAAATTAGCCTATAAGGAATAATTGATGAGATTATAATAATGTAGTTTTGGTTAGAATGTTGTTATTATCGGTACTTAACAAAATGTGCACTTTGACTTCGAGTCGTTTTTAACAGAAAAGGTGATTCACAGTTGAATTTTGCCTAATTGGTTGGATATGATTGATAAATAAATATATATATAAAAGTTGATTCAGAGTATGAATTTTAAGTTTTGATTAATATTAGCCTAATTGGTAGAACCCTTTTTTTTATTTTTTCAGTTAACTTTAAAATAGGCATTAGTAGTAGGATCTACTGTTATTGCTTATCTTGTTTCAGTGCTTTGTCCAATAGTTGTAAAAGCATTTGGCTTTTGCAATAGTTACACTTAACTATGACTTTTCATTTGTTTAGGACAATTAATTTTGCAAAGTTTAAAGGTGAGTTATTCATCGTCAAATATAGTGTATTTTATAAAAATTTAGTGATAGGATACCAGTATCATTTAAAGGCTTAGCATGGTAAAGCTATGCACATATCATATTAGTGATGATAATATACATACCTGTTAAGGTCATCATTGAAGCTGAACATAGAATTAATAAGTGTAGTATTCTGAACTTCTGAAAAAAACAAAAAACAATATTCATGTGGATTAGTTGACTAATTCATGAAAAAAATGTACAAGTAATGCATGAAGCATTTTTCTAGTTCTGTTGTACAGGCTGAAATTGAAAAAGGAGTATTTTTCTACCTGAATCTTTTTTTCAAAGTGGGTTGAACTGAGAAATTAAGATGGTAATAAGCAAATCATTGAGAGTTTAAGAGTATGAAACTGATTGATGAAGTAGATGACAGTGAGGTTTGTAAAAGTAAACAAAATATGGCAAATAATGAAATGTTATAAAAATAAAAGAGGGACTATAATAGTGTGTTAGCAGTGAACATTAAAATCTAATATAAATAGGTTTTTTAACATAACATGTGAATAGCAAAGAAACATTTGGTCTTTCAAAGTTGTCCATGCATACCCACCCTTCCATTTTAAGGAAATATTCACTTCTTAAACTCCTGTAAAGTACTGACTTCCGATACTGTTGATGGAAACTCTTTCCAGAACTCATCACCCCATACACAAAATGAATCTCTTTTAAATGAAGTTAACTTGTCTTTTCCAAATCTTAAGCTTATGTCCTCTCATCCTATTGCCTTCAGAATTCAGTACCCAAAAAAATCAATTCTAGTAGCCCTCTTTTATACCCTTTCTAGTAAGTTAGTTTACTTTCTCACATAAGGAGACCAAAATTGTACACGGTGTTTCAAGTGAAGCCTAACTGTTGATTTGTAAAGAGAGAGAATTATTATTTTTGGGCTTGTAATTAGTATATCTGTACTAACATCCTAAAATTTTATTAACTTTACTACTACTACTGTTTCAAAGGCTTGAGTGGCTTATCAACCACTATAAGAAGATCCTTTTCTTCAAATATGTTGTTGAGTGGATTTCCATCCATGTTTGACATGTGAATGGCAACAAGGAAAGTATAGAAAATCCCATTTAACAAGAACGTTGGATGGGAAAAATGTTTGAATGATAGCTCCCTATTATTTTGAAGGTGATATTTGCTATGAAAGTAATTTATATAAAGGTCACAGAAGAGTAAATTCTAACTGATGTGAAAGGTGCTGAATTTTGAGGTGTGTTTGAATAATTTGAGCATGTAAAGCTTCTGGCCTTAATGAGAAAGTTATAATTTTAAGGGAACCAGACAGCCATTTGGGGGAGGGAATCAGTGACATATTTTTCACAAGTTGCTAGGTAGTAGCAAAATAAACTTAACTAGCAATTTATAAAATGTTCCCTTGGTTACTATTTACAAAGTAATTGAAGATGTAACCAGAAGATAACAGACCTGTCAGTTTATCAAGAACTTCTGTTTAAGGTAAGCTACTGGTACCTCCATATCAGAATGTACAATTAACTTAGTAAATTTTTTTACCCATTTAATGAGGGTTTGCATTTTCATGAAAATAAATAAGTATAACTCATATTGATTAGAATGCTTTGATTCATCAGTTAGACACCCTCACTGTTATTAGTAGTTGTGATGATCCCAAAAATACTTCAAGGCTCAGCTGGATTAGATTAGTCCTAAATCCAGAAGGGAATAGAGCTGAGCAATTTAAATGATATAATTAATCATCTGTGTGTAGTAATTGTATTGATTAGTGTCATGAAACTAATCAAAATTATTATTAAATCCATTGCCATAAAAAGTATTAACTAATTAAAATGTATTTCTTATTACTACTGTTTTTGATTATTCCAGCAACCAATTAATCAGAATTCTGATTATATTGATCGTTATGAAAATAATCAACTAATCAAAATTAGGTTTCCAATTGTTACTATTTTCAATTATTCCAGCTGTTCAAGTAATCAAAATATTGTTATGTTTATTTGTTGTTAAGCACAAAGCTCCAAACTTGCTCACCCTGTCACTAATTTTGTACATCTTCCTTTTAAACTGCTGACTAGAGAGAGAAGACAATTGGTTGGAAGCACCCACCACCTACTTTTTTTTTGCTTGTATGTACCATGATTTAAGGAATACTGCATTAATTGATTAATCAAATGTGATCACTTAATGGGGCTATTTATATATTGATTAGCAAATACCACTAATTACCCAGCTCTACAATGAAATGGAACTTTACTTACAATTTCTTTGATTCTTCATTTCTAAACAAAGCACAACAGCAGTATATGCTAGTGATTAGTGAAAGCCAATTAATCAGAAGCTCCAATGGTGTAACTATAGATTGGCCTAACATGAGATTAATGGATACACAGATGTTGCTGTTTATCTGCGAAGTTGGTAGTGGGAAGATATAGTTTGAATAACATTATTCAATAAATAGCTAAATCATTAATACTATATTTAAAAATATATGTATAGTAGCATTTAAGTAACTAAATATGTTAAGAGTTTTCTTTGTAAACACTAATCCACCTTTATCTTGTACATGTGGCCATTTTAAAAAGTGTACAGCTGGAAGTAACAGTTAAACTTAAACACGAAGAACATGCATTAATTTTTTGTTAATCTTGTAGAACCTTTTGTTAGGTATTATTTAAAATATAACTTGTAGGCTGAATTTGAATAAAGAGTGAAAGGATTTTTGTCCCAATAACCTGCTTAACTTTTTTTGATAAGGTTACTAATTTTTGAATGTTACTTTAATTCATATACTTGTAAGGCCATAAATAAAAAGCTGATTACTGAATTAACAAGTGTAAAGGTTAAGTAAAGTCATAAAAGAAAGGTTTCTGATTGCATGAATTTAATTATTGAGGATCCTCAGATGTATTTTTTTGGGGGTGGGTTGGTGGGTGGCATTTAGTTGTTAATATTTCATGATGACTGGAAATCTTGTCGTGGATCAAATTCCAGTTCAGATTACATTTATCTGACAGAGTGATCTCTCAATCCACTTGTTTTCCAGTGGCTTTTACTTCAGTTGGGCACTCCTCACACCGAGGCTTTTCTACGTCCCTTAACCACAAATTGTCTTGGTTTTTGTCTCCAATTACTTGTCTTCTTGCTCTGGCTATCGATGTTTTCAGCCATGATTGGACCTACACATTTGTCTATCTTCTTGTTCTCCTAATTCTCTGGGTGATTTTGTTCATCCTTGATACTCTGTGTTCAATCCTTCTGATAGCTTTTTCCTGGCTGTCTCCGCTGTGGCTTCTCCAGCTCCAACTTCCTGCTCCATTACCTTTTCATCTGTCTCTTCTTCACCACCCTCAGTCATCGGTGTTTCATTTCAAACCTTCCTGTCCTGTATCTTCATGCCTGGTTCTCCTCTGGTCGTTGGCGAGATGATCCGGCTTCTCTCAATGGTTAGCCTCTTTTCTGGCTTGTTTCATTCACCCTTCCTCCATGGAAGTTTCTCAACACAAATGGAATTTTTCTGGGTCCAGATTTTCCTCTAATCAACCCACTGTTCTTAGTCATGTGGATTTCCTCTCTTGACTTTTGGATCTTTTGGTCTTCTGTTTCCTCAGTCTCAAATTTTTGGGCAGTCCTATCCCACACCTTTCGCTTTTCCTGATCCTGCAGGTATTACCTTTCCTACACTTTACCTGTGGATATGTTCCTTCCATATTTGTTTAACCACTTTTCCCTCCTTCAATTTCACACCTTTATCTTTGTTCTGGTCTGGATAGACTTCTGTGTTCTGTACGTACTCCTCTCTGTTATATTGCCTGCATGGTTTCCTACTGTGGTGTCCGTTCCCACCTCTTTCTTACCTGGCAACTGTCCTCTGTTTGTGATCTCTCTCCTTCCTCCTTTGCCAATTGGGTTTGACTCTTCATTCAGTTGGCTTCTTCCTCTTTATCGTCTTTATCCTGTACTTTGTTCTGAGTGTCTTCTCACCCAATTCAACACCTTATCTTTTCAGTGGTGTTTTATCTTCGTTATCCTTTGGAGATATTTCTTCAATTGGGCATGTGGACTACCCATGATACGTTTGTCTCTCACTATTTGCGTCAGATCATGGTTTTCTTCCTCTTCGGGATATCATCTTTTGCCTGTAGCCATTATAGAATATCAGAATTCAGTGAGACTTTGACTGGGTAAGTTATTAATACTTATTGTTTGGATTCCACTCTGTGGTGAGTGGTGCCTAACCAGGTATTCTTTACCTGTACGAATCCACACTGTCAAGCCATGTTGACTTGCATATTATAATTCCACGGCCACATAATGCACACTGTAGAGATGGGGTGTTCTACAAGATCTCTTGTAGGTTTATCCTCGCAATAGTATTACTTCATATGTTTGCCTGTCCTGGACCGTACCCACCCATGGACTATATGGGTAAAACAGAATGGATAGCTGCCCATCTCTGCCATGCCTTGTATTGAATAAATCGGTATGGTCTGCTTTTTAAAAACAAGGTTTCTTGGTCTCTCATTGCATTGTCTCAGGTGTTGTTATTCCTCTGGTCTCTTCATTACACTTTACCCCCTTTTCTTCTAGTGGAGTTTGAGAGTCCTTACCACTTTCCAGTTCCAAGCCACTGGGTGGGTGGACCATGGAGGCATCCTCCTCAATGGGTTAATGAAATACAAACAAAAAATAGAAATAATTATGAAACCATTCAGTTGAGAGTAGGGCAGTGGTGTTCTGCTGATATAGATGACATGATATCCTCTAATATGAAACATAAAAATAAACAGAATGAGACGTCAAAATTGCGGTTCACCCCTTTGATTGGGATCCCTCATCTTACCCCCCACATGGATGTCAGTTCCCAGTGGCTGGATTTTGGAGTTAGAGTAAAACCAATCAACATAAGTCCTCACACATATATTACAGATGTCTATGTTCCTCTCATTTATACTCCAACATTGTTGTAGGTCACGGTGGAGGTAATTGTGGGTTGTTACGGTTCTTTCCCCAATTCTATCCCTCAATGTTTCTTATTTCAAGGATGTTAATGTGCTTGTAGTGGTTCTGGTCAATTCACTTTTGAGGGAGATGGTTTACATTATATAGTTGTCTTTTTGATACTGGATGTTGGGTTTCTGGATCGATCTATTAATTTATCATATTCACATGTGCCTCGTCCATGAGTCAGTGGTATTAGGTTTTATGAACTTGAGGTGAAGACAGTATGATCCTCTTTCCTACTCCCCCCCCCCATATGGATGTTGGTACGTTGTGGCTGTGTTTTGGATTGTAGTTGACTTACTGATGGTATGATCCTCAACCTACTCCCATGTGAATGTTGGTTCCCAGTGGGATTGATTTTTATAAATATTGATGGTTCGAATCACTTTCTGGCCATAGTTCTCTCCCAATTGGATGTGCTCCTGTGTTTTCTGCCCATATATGCGACATCTTTCTATGATGGGCAAAGAGCATACCTGGTTCAGAAGTGGTGCAGTTCCCCACATCAGATCTTAGAATCTGTCTGTCTCATCTTAGGGAGTGTCCTTCGAATACTTTCGAAGGATGCTTCTTTCTTTCCCTCACACTGGTCCCTCCACCTATTCAATGTGGGATTCTAGCTATTTATGTGAGTAGAGGTAATGTATAATGTATTGGAAGTTATAACTTTCCTACACTAAACATGTATTTCCGATAGGTGCTTACCTCCTTTCACACTTCTCCACTGAAAACTGGTGCTTCTACTTTCAGCCAAAACTCGAAGTGATAGTTCAGTAGAATTGAATAAAGGGAGTGTGTGTCACACACTTATTGGTGAAGGATTGACACATGATAATTCCAATGGATGGGAGATAGATGGCTTGTGTAAAAAAAGGTTTTTGTATATAGAGGGCAGCCCTGAATGAGAGTAGCTATTTATGTGAAGAGAGGTAAGCACCTGTCAGATATACATTTTCATTGCAGGAAAATTATATTTTCTGTAAAATCTTAATCTCTTTAATGACAGTTTTGCATACATATACTGATCAAAGTGTTGTGTTACTGTTTGAAATTTTGCAAGCATTTTGATATATCAGAAGATGTAAATGAAACTGGTTTGTGGTTAGTTTGAATGTTATTAGTAAATTAAACAAAACTTGCATAGTGATTCAAAAGCTGATAAGATTATGCAAGAGATGTTGTACGTGTTTATATTTTTAAAAGATAGTATTACTATGTACTGTAAAAGAATGTTAGTTACACCAGAAAGAACCAAAGCATATTTTACATAAATAAAATGATCTTGTTTACCAATTGTAATAGATTGGTTAACAGAAGTGTCAGAATACTGTTTTTGAATTTAATTCATTACGTATAGCAAAGCAAAATAATATGGGCCATAGATTGGAAAATAATTTTACCTTTGTCTTCCATTGGCATTTTTTTTGTATGTATTTTAATTATTCAAATCCAGAGTAAGGAAAATGGCTTTTGTTGCATTAATCATTCCATACATCTTTTAACATTAGTTCACACGTACCGAAATGTGGAGTGTGTATCTGTTGAGAACCATGCATCTCAGGTAACAACAACACTTTGGCCATTGTTATAAGCAGATGTATGATGACAAAAACTTATTATATGGTTGCTTGATGTTATTAATGTGTTGATAATATCCTTTCAGATATAAATGAATTAAATCTACCAAAAACTTGTCAGATAGACTTACTTGACCCAGATGATCTTCTTAACTTCAAGCTGATCATAACTCCTGATGAGGTGAGCATACTTTAAATCCACAATGTTTCCAAGTACATAAATTTAGTTTAACAGTGTTAAACCTCATTGTTATACATTTAAATAATGATATAGGTCTTGGAGCTCTCATAAAATTTGCACAATTGAACACAATATGAAATTTGCAATTTCTACTTTTTTTTTAAGTAAGTTGATGAAGACATTAATTTTTATTTATTACTAGGTATATTGATTTTATGTTGTTTTGAATAGAATGTATCGGAATGTGCTCTGCAGATATATATATATATATCTGTTTGGTATAGTTTACAGTTGATAGATATTTGTTATTGTTTGTATGTGTAGTTGGATGCAAAAATGATCTTAAAAACAGAAAATTTACTAATTGTAGCTGTCTAGAATGTATTTCTGTTATTAAAGTAATATATAATATTAGTAAAGTATCCTTCAATGATATATTTCCTTAATTTTGTACATATTCCAGACAAACCTTTAAAAATGACGTATTTTTCTGTGGATATCTTGTTCCTGTGTGTATGTTTACCATACCTGCATATAACATATTAAAAAAGAGCATGCGTGTAAAGGCTAGACAGAGAATGAATATGAAGAAGGTAAAGTCATGAATGTGACTTACACGAGACTCAGTCTCTTTCACTTTTCAATCAATAATGATCATCTTCACAGTAAAAAATTTTCTTGAATTGCAAGCTTTTGGCCTCTTACTAGAGCCTTCATCAGGCCATGGTGTACTGAACAATACAGATTTGCTTCTCTTTGGAACACATTTTTAAAGACAGGTATCTAAACAACAATCCTAACTGTATCTGCATTACGTACATAGGTTAACAACTTTAACATCAGATAGCAGTTATTGTTAAGGTTGTTCATTACACTGTTGCCCATTAAAGGCTCCAGTAAGTGGGCCAAAATCTTGTAAGTAAAGAAAAGTAGAGAACAGGCTATATATATATTAATTTACCTATATTATGAGTAAAAAAAAACAAGGATTGTCTATCATTTTAACAGCAGTAGTATTGAACTATAGGGTATATTCTTGAAGACCATCCTTCTTTGTTTGCATCTAATTTTGACACCCAAGTTTTGTTCCTGGACACATTATAGACAAATACTGCCATTGATTTACCTTGGCCTTGTACTAGCTGAAACTGGGTAATTTAATAATCTATTACATATGAGCAGTGATTATATTGATTAGTGTCATGTAAACAAAGTGAATAATTGAAGTTACAATTAAATCAATTAATCAAAATTAGTGTTTCCAATTATATAAATTATCATGAAAATAATCAATTAAATAAAATTAGGGTTTCCAGTTATTTCAAAAATTGATTAATCAAAAAATATTATTAAATTAATTATCATGAAAATAATTAACTTAAAAAAATTAGGGTTTCCGATTATAACCATTTTGAATTATTCAAATAATTAAAATTTTGCAAGAATGTGCTTGCCCTGTCTTTGTTAAGGCAAAGCCATTAAGGCTACCTGCTACTTTCACTAATTTTGAATTGCTGACTAATAGAGATGGCAACTGTCTGGCGGTATGTGGTGCCAGTTTCTTTTGCTTGTATGTGCTATGGTTTGAGAAACACTAGAATGATTGTGGTAACTAAATTTATCAGTGACTTGGAGGCTTGTGTTAAACACATTTTGGAGTGAGTTGGATGCTTGTAGTAACTAAATTTTGGAGTGATGTTAAAAATTGGTAGACTAAAATCAATATGGTTGAAAATTTAGTTTTGATTTTTATTGAATAAGGCTGTGAAGATGGAAATAAAGTTAGAAACTCAAATCTTACAAATTACAATTTTTTTATAATTCCAGGGTTTCTACAGAGGAGGACAGTTTGTATTTAGTTTCAAAGTTAGCCACAATTATCCTCACGAGCCTCCAAAAGTCAAATGTGAAACCATGGTTTACCATCCCAACATAGACTTGGAGGGAAATGTGTGTTTGAATATATTAAGGTTAGTTCTCCCTTTAAAATGTATATTCCATTTCGATGATGAGGAACTCCAGCCATTATTAGTATATTCCATTGTTTTTTTAATAGCAGTTTCACTTAGAAAATTCACTAAAATGATTAATATATCTTTATATTTATTTTAGTTATTCTGTATATTTTCTTATTACAAAGGCTATCTTGCATTGTCAAGCTAAATCTCCTTAGCTGGCCAAACATTGTGAAATATTACTGGGATTACGGCTGAAAATATCGATAAGAGATAAACTACCCAACTACATTAGTGCAGTCTAATCATTATTAGGTTTTGTTTTACGACATTTCCTTTTCGTAGTTTGACTGGTGTATATAGTTAATGTTTTAATTCTGATTAATGTAAGTAGCTTGCTTTTACCAGAAGTTATTAATAAATAATATACATATTAAATTTGAGTTTAAATAATCAGTGTATTCCTTAGCTATTGTGTTTTTCAAATGCATTGAGACTTTTCTGCTTGAATTGGAATACCACATAGGTTACATATTTTTTGGCCTTGTTAAGTTCAGAAGTATACTTTTACCTTACTAATTACATTGTGCAGTTTTTGTTATCAGAAACTTCATAATGACACTTACAATTTTTTTAATGCACTAATATGTTGTTTCATCTGGAAATTGGGATAAGAGTTAGAAAAGTAACTACAAGTATGCTTCATTTAATAACATCAGTACGTTACAGACATTTGAAACCAGAACTTAACAAAATTTCCTCATCTCTTCTGTTATTAGTTAGGTGAATGAAACATTTTTAGGCAATGTGTTTAATAGTCCATGTCAAAATATCCTGCTAGCACAGGTCTAGGATAGACTGTCATTTGTATTGTGTGTATGCATACTGCTACATTATGAACCCCCAATTGCTGTGTAGTCTCATATACATTGAAAATGAATTGAGGGTTATTCATTGGCAGGTGGTTTCCATGTAAATATGATTTCTATCGTAGAAATCTTCTATGGTTGGGACATTACATTTTGACAGTGTTTTTGGTTTTTCTGCTGGGGCTTTCTTTAGCATAAGAAGAGACCAAAATGTTGTGAAAAAGAAAAAAAAAAAGTGGTAGTGATTTTTGATCCATAGAAAACATTACCTAAAGGAAAATATGATCTTTATTGTATGTGGGTATTATGTGATAAGCACAAAGTCAGGTTATGTGAAAGATTCGCAGCTAGATCTAAAAGTTATATTTATGACAATTCTTTGTTGATTTCGTGAAAACAGTTGTTTGTTGTATAAATGTACTGTGAGTTTCATACATAATTATTGTACTAAATTATAAACGAACCAACATTAAATATGTGGAATAGACTATTACTTCATTAGTATAAGGGAAAGACATTTCATTTAGACAGATTAGTTACTTAAAGATGAAGATTATGTTCAGAGAGAATTATTATGTCATAAACGCCAGTCAAAAAGCATATTAGCAATTGCTATTTTTAAGTGTCTCTTTGCTGAAAATATTCATTACTGAGCAAATATTGCAATAAGTTCTTCAGATATGTGTCTCATGATATAATATTTGTATTGATGCATGAAGATCATTGGAGAAGGGATCCATACTGCATCAAAACTGTATATTTTATAAAAGCAGTCTGAATTCAAAGTGACAGAAAGCAGATAATGCGAAAGTATAGTGTCTGAAGTCCCAAGACAAATGTATAGCTCCCAAATTCTTGATTGCAATGCAGGAAGTTAGAGATTTTGTGAAGAATCTAAAGAAAATATAGTAGTCATTCTGTAGAGGTAAAGAACAATTTTTAACAGCTGATTTAAATTGCTACTCTGTCATTTTGTAATGTATTCATTTTTAAATAATGTCAAGTTAGTTTCATATTTTCCATTACTAGCAGAAGGCAAGTATACTACCAAAATGTGTGCCATGGAATAGTAAAATTGGTTTTGTGTGGATTACTCCAAGAAATTTGAGTAAAATATTTACTAAGTATATTAAAGAAACAAATTGAAACACTACAAACTACAAGTATACTTAATGACTGCACCAGGTCTTTATGTTGGCAGTCTTATTGTAAACACTTGTGTCAGACATAACACTTCTTAATTGGTATTGCTGTTAAAAAGTAATTATAGTTTCTAATTGCATCTCATAAGTGAGCTGGGTTATGCCACTTATAAGTGAAACTATTTAGTTATATTCATTGATGTTAAACAAATTATTGAACATTGTAGAGTTCTTGCCAATGTTTTTACCACAAATTTTTCAAAATATGGTCTTTGTTTTCTAGGGAAGATTGGAAGCCTGTTCTAACTATAAATTCTATAGTATATGGTCTGCAATATTTGTTTTTGGTGAGTCATTTCCTTGTGCTATCAGTAGTTACAATGTGTATTCTTATAAGCATAATATTCTTTTACAAAGTAACTAAAATTAACCTTTATAGAAAAAGTCATTTTTTGTCTTAGAAATATTAATAAGGCTTGTAATCAAGTCATTCTCTTTAGTTGTATGTATACATGTGTTTAGAAATTGGTTGTAGGCTTGGTAGTAACCCCTCTATAACAGAATCTACATGGAAGATACTATCAAGTGAGGAAAATTACAATGTAGGGCTTATGTTGGTGCTTGCCAGTTTCACAGGAAGTAAAACTTGTATATATATACACACACACACACACACACACACACACACAGGACTAACACAAGACAAGTTTGGGTATAAATATACAGGTATTTGGAGAACCATAAAATCTATGGCTTTTGCCAGTTGGTACAGGTGTTTAAAATTATAAACAAACTCATTTATTTAAAATTAAAAACTAACATAGGTTGTGCTATATGGTGATCTTAAAATACAGTAAATTTTATTTCAACTTAATAGTACAGTATTATTAATATAAATCCTATCAAGTATCCAACATGCTCTCCATCTTTTTTCAAAAATACAGACTCCGGATGAGGAAGGACAATGATAGACAGCAGCACACCAGTGATGTGCATCATGTAACATTTAATATGATTTTTTGGTTAAGTTTTAACATTAAGTATTTTTAACAATGAGTGAATGATAAGTTTCTCACTTTTAGCTGCTATTTCTAATTGTATCAACATGATAAGCAAATAAGGTTTCAAGGTCAAGTTGCAGCACCATCTATAATCTTTTTTTTTTTCCCTTCATAAATGTAGTCCATATGTGTTTTTATAGATCTGTGCCAACTGCTAAAGCTCTTAATTTACATGGTTCTTCCTTCTTATGTACATTTCAACCAAAACTTATTTTCTGCCACCTTTGTATGATGTTTTCTCTGAAGCGAACATTATTCAACATTTTGCACTATTTTTATTTTTACTAGGATTACGAAAACTCATCAATCGATTATGGTACTTAGTACGTACTAAAGTTTGATATGTATACGAGTTGTGAATATTTTAGTGACTAATTTAATTGGATTGCTCAGTGCATTAACTAATGACATGACTAATGTACAAAGTTAACTGAAAGGAATAAATTCATATTAAACTAACATCACCATTAAATTACTAAGAAAAACAAGTTCTAGATGAAAAAAAAAAGTGTTAACTAATTATACATCATTTTAATACCACATATAATACATGAAACTTAACATCTTCATTGCTGAGCAATTAAATATCTAATAAACAGTTTCATTTCTGAAAGCAAAAAACTTTGGTTTCAGTGCAACATTTTTATGTTATGTGAAATTCTGTTTTACTGCTTTGAATTTTTTAAATGTTCATATACTCATTATTAACCAATTAAATTCCTAAAGGATGTATTCACAGTCAACATGACACCTTCTTTTCTGGTAGCAGTGCACATTGATTTCAGTGCAACATTTCTCTATGTATTAACACAAACCAAAGAGGATGCAATATCATTACTTTATTTCCTCCTTCGCTGCTTTAGTACCTGCTAGCACAATGGTCAAGAGAAGCGAATTATTAACAAATGTATAGAGAAGCAATTCTTATAATTCTGAATGTACCGAGTTGTTTTCTTGCCACAAGTTCTTGGTCCCTATACGGGTCAATGGACTCACAATGCTAAAATCCAGGGTTCAATTTCCCGTGATGAACAGAGTGTAGACAGCTAATTGTGAAGCTTTGTGCTAAAACAACAGCATAAATTTTAGCCTATACAGAATTTAGAAATGACCTTTAATGCCCAGATAGTAATGTAAAATTAAAGGAAGTTTTTCATTTCATTGGAATTTTAAATTACCTTTGAACTATTTTGTAAAGTTGAAAGTGTGTCAAAACACTCTCCTATTTATTTCAATTATTGTGATATATACGATTGTCCTTTTTTTTTCAGGAGCCTAATCCAGAAGACCCCTTGAATAAAGATGCAGCTGAAGTTTTACAGAATAATCGACGACTCTTTGAACATAATGTAAAGAAGGCTATGCTTGGTGGCTATGTTGGTTCCACGTACTTTGAACGTTGCTTGAAGTAGTGATAACATTATACTTAATATTTCACAAGGTGACTTTTTTAACTTTATGGCTTACAACTTTTTGCAAGCCACTTTGTACAGTCTCAAAAGTTTGTAGGGAATGCTTCTCCTACTCCCTCATAATATATCAGTGTTTGTTTAAAGATGTGTGCTCCTTAAAAAAAATTATGGTTTAAAGTTTTCTCGCCAACTGAAAGGCTACTTAAAAGATAATTTTATTCCAGATATTTACCATTCTGGAAAGAAGAGGAGGAGTATTATCTGTATCCAAAGGGTATTTAAAGATGTCTTGCTTTTTTATTATTATTATTATCTTATTCTTTATAAAGAAACCAAATGGCTGAAATATTTTGTTCCACTTAATGAAAATGAAGTACTTATGTCCACATGTTGTATTAATAATAAAATTATCTCATCAGTTTTTAATTATTGTTTTGGAATAACAGTAAAATGTTTCAAAGTAGATATATGTTGAGCATTTTGTCTTGTATGCAGTTTCACAAGTTACTGGAATTTTTGGTTTCATGGTGCTCTGTATACACGCCCCTTTTAAAAATAATCTAAATGTGAGAAAAGCTCAGTGTCTAACACCCTGCAAGATATATATATATTATAACCTGTTATTTAATGTAGGCGATTGCCATAGCTTTTAGATAATACTCAACAGTACAACTTTACTGAGTGATGGAAGAAATAACTTTTTTTCCCCTACAGTTTTTTAGACCTATGTAACATGTAAAATCAGCTTTGCATGTTCAAACGTTTAAGCTAAAATTTCATTAAAGAAAAATGGTCTTGACCAACCAGTGATACTTCTTGTAAGGTGTATTATTCAGTTAGTTGACTGGAGTTCGTTTTTTTGGCAATAATTATTTCAGAATTTTGCTTATATGTTGGAATTGATACTAAGCAATTCTTGTTTTAATTAAATATGTTACTAATTCTTCCAAAAAAAAATAAAGTGGAAAAAATCCTTTAAAAATCTTGTTTTACACTGGAAAGTTAAATAAATCTAGTAATTTTTAACACAGTACAGTGTGCATATGCTTTCTGTTAATATCCTTTTTTAAGAATGTTTTGCCACAGTTAATTGAACTTTGTAAGAATAATGTTTTAGGTTCTTTACTGCTCTTATAAGTACTTCCATGATAATAGTATGGGAAGGTCAGTTTTAGACCACATCTCCACAAACATGTATATATTAGCTTCCAAGACCACATTTAATAAGAAATCACTAGAGTCCATTAATTTGATCATACTTATGAAAACAGCCACTGATTTTGATGTGTATCTAGAAGCTTGTAAAGATTTAACTCTGAAGCCTTGTTTATTATTGCATTAAATACACACAATTCAAATAAACAAAATTAACCTTCTGTAATTACATACAAGCAACTGCATAAAAAGTTATGGCCAAATCTCATTGATATATATATTTATACAAGCGAAATAAGTATGTGATCCTACTTACTTGATTAAATACAATCACTACATTAATGAACATTTTGTTAAAAATCTACTACAGACAAACAATATCATAAAACCTCGAACTTCCATTTTAGCCGTCTTCCCAAAGAAGCAAAACATTGAAATGCCACCATCATCAAATTGTTCTTACAAGGTTAAGGTTTGTTTCAGCTTCAGATACTAAGGAATAAATAAAAGTTTGAAATGTATAAAAGACATTTAAGTTGTATTACGTCTTTGGTTATGTTATGCTGTAGTCTTTGAACCCTGCTAGCAAAGCAAGATTCTGATTACTGGTCTACCTTCTTTCCCTTTGTTTTTATATAAACCCCTCGACTCAGTTTAGTAACTCCTGATTGGCTTCTATCATTTAAACTGGTACTAATGTTTATATGTATAATCATACAGCAGATGATTGGGTTTCATACAAACTAGTACCTATTTTCATGAATACTTTCTGAAAGTAAATTAATGGAACTTTTTTTTTTCTAATAAACTGTTGGCCTATCACAAACATCAGTAAATTCCAGTTTTAATATCAAGAATAATACTATGACCTAAGTTGAATTTATTATTTACGAAAGAGTTATTTTTCATGTAAAATAATTTGAAATACCTAATCTACTATATTTTTTTTTAGAAATATGGTAATTTAACAATATTTCAGTGAGATAACCAATAAATGTTTCTCTTCCACTTATATGATCCTTTCCCATTTCAAGCTGGGAATGATAGAAGAGATTGAGAGAGATTTTTTTAAAAATAAGAACTGTGTTTCTTTTAGGTAATTTCTCTGGAGAGCCAATTAATTTCATGATTGTATCCAAAAAGTCAAGGCATTTTTCAATTTGAAATGTAACAATCCTTCCATTGTTATTAGAGCATAGCACAGACCCCTTGTCACTGTGAGGTATATAATTTCACATAAAGAAAATTTTAGGACAAAACTGATTAGCATATATCGATTGTTTAAGATTAAGAATACAGTTCAAATATTTTTTATTGTTTACTATAAAAAATACAGTATGACAAGTTGCGAAGTATACATATACATGTATAAAGAAATTAAAGCAAATGACTGAGCTTAAATAAATGCAAATATGGCTCCCACATTTTCTCCTTTTGTTGTGTGCAGTGATAATATAATAGGCTAAAGACTAGTAGGTGATTAGACTTGTATATTTACACAAGATTTTCAAGATGACCCAAAACTGAAAGTCGTTGGCACTGTCTGGTTAAGGAACTTGCAACCAACACCGTCATCAACATTTCTAAACTCTGAAGAAAAAAAACCCACGAAATTAGATGATAGGTTGTCTTTTAAAACTTTGAAATTAACTTGATCTTAGTGTCCATTTTATTTTATAGATTACTTCAAATGGTTATCATTAAATTTCATTTGCAGACTACAATGCCTTAGTATCACATATTACATCAAATAGTGGGCCATAACTTAGTCAACAGTTATATAAAGAAATATTATAATTCTCACAGGTTTAAAATGCAACTAAGAGAAACAATTGTAGAATAAGAAAATAAGATTTCTTTACGTGTAATGAAGTTTGTGATTTAGTCGTCAATGACTGAATACAAAAAATTGCTTCCATTTTATAGATAATCAGCAAATGTACCCATGCCTTGCTTCATGGAGATAGCAGAATAACGTGTGCATCATCCACTTTGTAAGTATGTTGAATACAGGTGATCTGCAGATGTACCTGTACTACACACTTAACCAAATTGCATGAAACTTAACTTAAGCCTACTAAATTGTACCTAATTTCAGCATTTACATTTTTCTATTACTGGTCAGAAACACTTATTGGTGACCTACAATCTGACCTTTCACAGACTAGGTAAAAATATTTTTGAACAAGGTCAATTTACATGTAATAAATATAGCTTCTTTTCAATTAACAAATTATTTTACTTGTTTGAATATGATAAGACTTACCTGATATTTCATCACAAAAATACTTTAAGAAACTATATAAAGTTCTCAGATTTGTGGTTTATTCCTAAGTCTTTTAAACTTCCCCCTTAGATTCCTTTGTTCATCCCTGAGGAACTCCATCTAGTCAGTTTCTCACAACACTTTATGTTGAGTTAAAGCTTATAACCTGTTCTATACAATGTAATGAAAACTTTGCCTGTCACTATTTTCAAAGCTATGCTTCATTGTAATTGTTCAGACCATGTGCTGTCATATCATCAAAGGATGAGAATGAATATAACCAGAGAAACAGGATATGGCTATTATATTCTCTAGGGATGATAGTGCTTTCAATGTGTTGTTTATAGAACAGTCTGTGAAGTTTTGCAGAAATATAAGTTTTCAATGTTTTTTCATTTTTCTTTACAAATATCACAAAATATAACTTCTAAAATATATTTGAGTTGATTGTTTTTTTACTTGAATTCGATATGAAAGGTGCTCACTGGTGTTGTATGAACTTCAAGATCATGTACAAAACATATACTACTACCTGCAGCAGCTCTTTTTTGGTCAGCTAATAGCAGAATATCTTTTAATGCTTGCTGTTGTCCAGTGGTTAGATGGGCTGTGAGGTTACTGTACCAATCAGGATCAGCTTCACTAATTCCTGTTCAATAAAACATAATTCACTAAGCAAGAGATTGTTTCTAGCAAATAATCTGAATTGAACAAATAGTTTTAGTAAATAGAAGCATTTATATATATAAATATATATTTTTTTTTTACTTACTTTGCAATACATCTTTGAAAATGATATATTCATCTCCTTGGCTTTCATCGTCATCTAAAGGTGTTGTATAACTTTCTAGAACAGTTTCTTCAGAAATATAATCATCATAATCACTCTCATCTTCACTGTCTTCACTGCCATCATTAAAATCTCTGGAATGCACTACTGATCTTCCTGGACCTGTATCCACATCATCTTCGTCACTTTCCAATACATCTGTATAACACACCAGATGTTCTATTTAAATATAAGTACTGAGCACAAGTCTATTAATTTTTTAACACTAAGTACACATTGATTATGTTTTAATATTTTTTAAGAATAAACTTTAGCTTTTCTTCAGTATCTATCTGTTTTTTTTTTATCAACTTACTCACCTTTATGATCAGTAAGAAAGTTAGCCCCTTCTTCGTTTCTGGGTTTTGTCATTTCTTGAATTCGATCTAGTTAACCACAAAATAAGAAAAACAATTTTCACAACACACATGAAACAAAATATACATTAATTCACAATGGTGTACATATACTGATACGCTATATATGATGCTTATTTTATGAATAAGAAAAGACTAACCAAAGTAAAAGATTCATTAATAATACATCACTGTTACAGTTTTTATAGGTAAATAAATTCTGTAAAATTTTCATTGTTTTGTATCCCTCAACATCACGACAAATTTGTATTGATTTTTTTAAATGAGCAAAATCAAAGTTTGAACTATGAATTTTTTTTCATGGATTTAATAAGTCTTCTTCATCAATGGAAAAAAATCTTTGAGACAAAATGCAGAAAATGAACATTACAATATTTTCAACATTAAGTACTTCCACATACATAACAGTGTTACATTTATAATTACTATATATTCTTTTTTTTTTCTTACCAACTGTATTTAGTTAAAAATTGTAAGATAAATTATAAGTAATTTTTAATTTATGTTTACAACTATCTAACATTAAAAGACAAGAATATTTCCTAGTAGTAGTTTATAGCATAGACCCACAAGTATAGGCTCTTCTAAGACCATCAAAAAGCAATAAAAGAGAGGGAATGATTTCTTTGGCACATTCTTGTATCACAGCTGGCCTCTGGGGAGGGATGGCTATTAGAGTGCATAGCCCCAAGATACACAGTTTTCTATCATGCAACCTATACATAGAAAAGAAAACAACTAAAGCAACACCTGGGCTACAATTATTGAAAATGTATGCTGAGTTTGAATAATATCTACGGCATCAGTCACTGACAATATATAATTGTAATCATGATATTATATTCATTTATCAAGTAAAATAATGAAAAATCTGTGAGTAATTTGAGCTTGATTTATTATGTTCACAATAAAATATTTGCAACTGATTCATCATGTGTAAAACAAACTTTTATAATATCTTTACTTACATACGTTTTGAAATTGTTTCTAATTCCATAATCAGCATTAATACCTCTAAAATTTAATCCACAACATTCTAAGTACAAAAAGTTTTTTGACACAACCAAAAGTTTAGAAAAAACATATTTAAATGGTAACAATATATCATATCATACAATAGAACCTGCAGCATACAAATATTTAATAATATTGTTAAAACATCATAAAGAAAGGTTAAAATACAGGTATAAATCACTATCTTGAAAAAAAAATAATAATATAAATATTGTAAGTCTGTAAATGATTAAATTAATGAGAACAGACCAGTTGATGTTATTATTTAGTGTTGGATGATCACTGAAAATAAAAAAATTTTCTTTAACAAAGAGTTTGTTATCTGCTGTTCCACAGTTGAGAATTTTAGTTTTCAAGAAGTATGGGGTGGTGGTTATTCTCACTATGTAATGGATGCAAGACTTGAGTGGATTAGTTAGCTTATATTCACTTCTAGCTGAAATTCCCATGTGTGCATATTTGTAGGTGACATGCCGGTTTTAGCAATATATGTAGCTCTACAGCTACCATAAATGTATTTATAATTGATTCACAAGTGCATAGGGATGGGGTAGAGTGTCTTTGATTTTAAATAAGTTTTGAATTCTAAATGTTGACTTAAATACTAAATGTAGCTTAATTTGTGGGTAATATGCTTTGTGAATTCGAGATTTGAGCTTAAAACTTTGCCCATGAAAGGAGTGATAAAAACTAGTCAATATTTTGTGGTTTGATAGTTAAATATATTTGTGATAAGAGTGTGAGAAGGTCTGACACTTGTGAATATTTTTCTCTGTTGTTAATAATGTCAGTGCTGGATAAATGCCTTCTCTAGTACAAACCAGTATTACATAGGAGATACACTGATGATATTTTTCTATTTCTTCACATCTCCAATCACACCAAAAAGTTTTTAAAATACTTAAACTTGCAACATTTATGTATAATGTATACATATGAGATGGAAGAAAACAATAACTTAGCTTTTCTTAGATGTTCAAGTAAGAAAACAAAAACTCTTTGCCAAATCTGTTAATCATAAAAAACATTTACTGGTTTATTCACTTATTTTATACTCTAGTACTTCAAGTATAACCTTGTTCTAAGTCTCCTAAATAGAGCATATAGTATATTTTTGGACTAATTCTGTTTGTAATTAAGCACAAAGCTACACAATGGGCTAACTGTGCTCTGCCCACCACGGGTATTGAAACCCGGATTCTAGCATTGTTAGTCCGCAGACATACCTCTGTGCCACTGGGGGGCATTTTTACTCTGATCCAAAATCATAATGTTTTACACAGTAATGGCTGTCTCTTCGATTTCTTACACTCTATCATCGAACATTTCTAGCAAATAAAACAGGATATATTATCTTGAAATATCCATAGTTCTTATCACTCCTTTTATGGGCAAATAAAGCTCCAAATGCAAAAAAATAATCAAGAAATATTACCTACAAATTAAGCTATGTTTAGTATTTAAGTCAACATTTAGAATTAAAAATATGTTTAAAACCAAAGACGTTCTACCCATTCCTATGACCTCGGTTTTTTTTTAATAAATACACTTGTGGTAGCTGTAAAGCTATCTATATTGGTAAAAATTTCACGACACCTACAATTTCTTGTAGAAGAAGATATAAGCTAACTATTCTATGAGTCTTGTATCCAATTTAATATTTAGAATAGCAACCCACCCCCAATTCTTGAAAACTTTAAAGTTTTTGACTCCTGAATAACAGATCACAAGCTCTTTCTTAAAGAAACTTTAAATTTGCAGTGACAACCCAACACTAAATAACCCTGACTTTTTCTTCTTGTCATTAATCCAATCGTTTCCAATGATTTTATTCCTGTAATTTTTTTAAAAATACAGTGGTTATGCTTATATTTCAACCTTTCACTATAGTTTTCTCTTAACATGTCTACACGTCTACTGCACATTTTATTGTATGTTCCACTATACTGTTCTTATTTACTAAACTTTTGGTTTTATCAAAAACTTCTCATTTAAAAACTGATGTTTTTGTAGTTAAGATGTTGTAAATTAACTTTTTGATGATGGAATTTGAAAATATTCTCAAAAGACTTTTTTATTGTTTCACCATATTTCTAATATTTATTATGAAATAAAATATGTATTAAACTTCAAAGGGAGCACACAAATACACATTACTTGATCAATATTACAAGCCCATCTGCTTTCTTTCACTTTTTTTTGTTCAAACTTTCAGAAAACAAAACCAACTGTTCTTGATTTATCAACAATTCTTTTGCCAAACAGCAAACACACACAGATACGCTATCTTTCTCTCACCACACATAAATCTTGAAACAATACTGCTGTTAGGAATCAGAAACACGAACATTTTCATAGAGTTTCACATGATTTAGAACAGCTTTGCAATGTCCACAAAATTTCTGTCTTCAAAACATCATTATTATCAACATTCAATATGGACTAGCCAACAGTTCCACTGTCGCTTGCTTTTACAGTAGATGACGATGGCGGCATTACAGTATCACTCCTGAATTTTTCAATGTCAGTATTTGAAATCCTGCATCCTTGACACATGCTTTCATGCCTTCCGAGCATTCATTTCTTTTTGCATGCAACTTCAAGGCACCCTTGCCATTCTTATTGCAATAGCAGCTGCTGGCTTGGTGCCTATCATTCTCACAGATCTTGACCCAGCTAAGAATGTGTCAAGCGACCCACACATATAATATGTCGCATAAGAAAGCAGCTGCCATTTGCAACTGTCTACCTTAGTACCACTTATTGAAACTAGTCATAATTTGCTTTTTTCGTGTATACCTTTTCTCTCATATAAGAAAATACAAATTAATATACTGTTTATTTATTACACGTCAATTAATAAAATATTAATACATCAAATCAGAAAATATTTTCTCATGTTCAAGTACTTTTCAAGTCTGCACCAACCCTGCATTTATCTATGTGCATTATGTCTAACAGATGTGTTCTTTCACCAGTGGCATGCATCATAAATGATACTTGATGACGTGTAGGAAAGTTATAAAAAACAAAAACTTGCCCACTCACCCAAGGAAACAGTCAGTGTCATGTATCCACTGCTGGATGAAATGAGAAGTCACAGAAAAGGTCACATTGGGCAAACGAATTTTCTCCAATGTATCCATTAATAAGGCAGGATTGTAGAAAAGGGAAGCTATTACTACCTATAGTAATGATATATAAACAATGTAAGTCAGAGCAGCTTTAATCACCTACAGTAAACAATGTAAGTCAGAGCAGCTTTAATCACCTACAGTAAACAATGTAAGTCAGAGCAGCTTTAATCCCCTACAGTAAACAATGTAAGTCAGAGCAGCTGTTAACACTTAAATTAACAAAACAATATATATTTGTAATAATACAAAGAAGCTTTAATTACCTACAGTAAACAAACGTAAGTCAGGGCAGCTGTTAACATTTAAATTAACAAACAATATATATTTGTAATAATACAGAGCAGCTTTAATCACCTACAGTAAACAATGCAAGTCAGAGCAGCTGTTAACACTTAAATTAACAATATAGATTTGTAATAATACAGAGAAGCTGATTCATCAGGTGGAAAACAAAGTTTGATAATAAATATTAAAACACAGTAATACTAAAAAAGGTTTTCCATATGGACATTTTGGAATTTCCTTAAATTCCATCATCAGTGTTAATATCTCATAAAAAGTTAGTTCATAATATTCAAACTACAAAACACAACATCAGCAATGAGTGAGTTTCATATTCAACTGGAAGTTTAGAAAGAACAGTTTTAAATGGTAACAATATAATGGAATGTATGATAAAACGTGCACTATACACATTTAATAAATAACATTGTTAGGAGAAACTATTATAAAGAAAGGCTTAAATATAAGTATAAAACTGTATCTTTAAAATAGTAATAAATATCAAATAAAAACTGAGAATCAGAAACTGATTAAATTAATGAAAACAGAGAGGAACTGATGTTATTATTTAGTGTTTAATAATGTTTATACTTATATTT